CCTCGGCGGCTCCGCGCAGTGCTGGCCGGAGGGAGCCGGAATCTAAGAGGGAGGCTGGATTCAGGAGCAAACACGGCCGTGCCGAGCACACGGGGAAAGGCAGCTCCTCGGCCGGGCCCCGAGCGCATCCAGGGCCTCTCCGCGCAGGGAAGCGGCTCCAAGACGAGGGAAGTGGTGGAAGGGTTGGAAAGTGCAGGGTTCCTCCCCTCGGCCCCGTTGAAACGTTGCTCCGCGGCAGCACCAAGCTGCAGACGGGGTGTTCATGGCTCGGGACGGTCCTGCCGCGCTCGGGAGCGCTCTGTCCATCGCACAGGTCACACAGGCAGGGTCCGAGCAACACGACGGTGCCAGCGGGCACGGGGCCTGGCCAGAAAGCGCCCCGAAAGGAGCCCGGAACAGCCCTGCAGACACGTCCCGGTTCCGGGGGGGCACATCCCACGTGGAACGCCGCATCCCGACACGGGGTCTCACCCCAGCGGCTCCAGCCTCGCGTCGTCCAGGGTCAGCGCTCGGAAGGGTTCCTTTCAGCATTTAAAAAGTGACAATACTTTGTGTTTGATAGAAAAGAGTCACGGTATAGAAGACTGAAATAAAAACGGTAGAAGCCGCTTGCTGGATGCAGGGAGCTGCCCGCAATGCGGGGGGATCCCTCCGGCCACCCGAGCGGCAGAGCAGCCCCACGGGCCGGGGCTCAACGAGCTCCGGTGGCGCTCGAGTCCCGAAGCCGCCGGGAAAACAGTCCCCGCTGCCGTCCAAAGCGGAGCTCTGGCTCCGGAACAGTTTCGCCTCCGGAAGGTAGGAAGTGTTCATAAAGTTCAGCAGTCTTTGAAAAAAAAGACTTGGGTGTTGTCCTTTACACATAGGTATTATATAGAGCTATATGTTACTTCCCCTAGGGCTTATTTTATTCTGAAAAGGAAGGGAATATGTTTAGCTCGGGGAACTCTTCGTTGTTGTAGTTGGGCCCCTGGTCTCCCAGCATGGTCAGCATGTCCTGCGGAGGTAACAAGGCCGCGGTTACTCCCCGGGCGAGCGGCCCCGGAGCCGCCTGCGGATGCGCCCGGCACCCCGGCTGTGCCAGGCCCTTCCCCACGGAGGGGCTGAACCCGAGGCTGCTCAATCCGAGCCCTGCAGCTCCTGAAACGCCTGGGCGCAGAGCAGGGGTTTCACACTGCCCCTCCACCAGAGGAAGGGGCAAAGCGAGGCTGGCCAAGGCCTCTGCCCTCTCCTCCCCAGCCCATATTCCCAAACCGGAGGCTCCGCGATATCGCACGCTAAGGACAAGCGCGTTCCCCGCTCGGGAGGTTAAAGAAAGCACCGTCTTACTGAGAAGACCTCAGGCTGGCTGGGCTGCGGCTGCTGCACGTGCTGCTCCGCCGAGGCCGGGCCGTGGTGCTGTCCTTGCCACTGCGGCCACATCCCCACGGCGTCGGCCGCGCGCGCCTGGAACGGGGCCGGCGGCGGCGCCGGCTCCG